ATTTGAAAGAATGTTTTTAACATGTAAAATCCTAATCATTCACTTTCGTCACTAGATATTTTATCACTAGTGACGAAAGTAAAGTTTTCGGCTAAGGTGAAATATGACGAAGTTGTTTATTTTCTAACGGTCATAGAAAAAATGATTTTTGACGAAAGTTGTCTATTTTTTAGTGGCCAGAAAAAAAGTTTTTTGCAGATGCTAGTTTGTTTGTGCAATGAGATTTGGATTTTGTTGGAATTTTTGACATTTTTATACCTACACAACATACAACATTTATTATTAGAACCCAAGAATCGTGAACTAACAGGATTGCTCATCCTGGAGAAGGCGTATGTTCGCCGGTTCTCGAGTCCACAAGGTCTGCGAGTGACGTCACCACGTCAGCTGCTAATATTGGTGACGTCATCCGCAGACCTCGATGAAATTTTTGCGATTCAGGCTTGTTATTTGATTATTGCGTCGATTTTAAATGTAGAAATAGCTATTTATGTAACAAGTTGTAAATTGAGCGTGTTTTTTGCACTAAATGTGAAGATTGGGTGGAAAAAGCGGGAAAACCGGGACAATTCACGTGAAAAGCGGGACCTGAAATTAATTTAAAAAAGGCGGGACCGATTAACAAAATGCGGGACTGTCCCTCCTAAGGTGGGACGTCTGGCAACCCTGTACCAGATGGTTCGTTCCAGCACTCCTATATCAAATATTATGATTCTGTGGTCAGAGAAAGAGGGTTCATTGGACACTCTCCAATTCCTGATCATTTGGATTACAAAGTGTTAGGTCTAACACCTCCTGTCTTACCCTACTAACGAATGTTGGTGTATTCCCTACATTCAGTATATCAAGGCTAGTTTGAAAAATGAATTCTAACAGTTGCTCACCTCTCACATGTTGTGGGCGTTGGGGTCGCAGCCTAGTAGGAGCGGTAGGTTACTCCTGTTACAGTACTCGACTAGTCCTGTTACTTCTTCTGGAGTATCGTGATGCCAGTACTAGTTCGCGGTGTGGTTGATCGGTGGTAAGGTTTCAAGACATAAGTGATTAATGTTTTCTTTCATTCTCTTGAAAGCATGCTCTGGGGTCGTTACACCGAGTGTCCCAGATTACTTTGGCCCGTCCACCGGGAGCATTTAAGAATTTCGTATAGGTATGTATTTGGCACCCAGGCATATCCTATTGGTTCGTCGCACCATGCACGTGCTAAATAATGTCCCTAGAGCTAGAAGACCAAGATCAGCAGAACACAAATGCGATTATACCATAATTGAATGCTGAATAAATGTACTAATTGAAAATTTATTGCTCCTTTTTTTCCTGAAAAACAACATGTTCTGCCAGCTTTACTAAGCTGGACATTAGTGCACTAATTATTTTTTTTATTTACTATTTTTGATCTATTTTTTTTTCGAAATAGATATTCACCTACCTATTATTATGATTTGTTTTTCCCACTTATAAAACTCGAAATCGTCAGGCCTATGAATGTGCAACATGCCGTATATGAATTTGGCACTACATCACATTTCGTATATGTGTTTGGCACCTAGCTGTTAATTGGTTGGAATATGACCGCATGGCGTACCGGACCAATAGAAAAGACCTAGGTGCCAAATACATATACGGAATGCTTAGATGCCCACTGGGAAGGCCTCTGACCTGCCCTCCATAAACCCAGGGTTCCTGGATTAGTACGGCCCCCAAGTTTGCCGTAGTGAACAGCCGCGCTATGACAGCAGATGCTCCCCTAGCGTGGTGAGTGTTCACTTGGAATATTTTGCTATAGTTCGCCATTTTACCTGCTACTATTTTTATCTTCTGGTGAGGAGTGTATTCCTCCTATTCGCCCAGAAGCATGTTTTCTTCCTCGCTGAGGATTTCAGCTGCAAAAGTAAGGGTCTTTTCCCCTTCCTCGAGGCTTTCGTCCTCTCCACCTTTTCCACAACTGGGTGTTAAGCCCCTCATTTTGGGTTTTTACTAGGTTAAGAATCTTTGGCTTTCTTGCCCTTTACTTCTGGGGAAGAAGACTGTGATGAAGTGCGCTTTCGGGATGTCGTCTCCCATGCACACCATCAACTCTGTTCCCTGCCATGTCTCGAGTTTGGGGACGTGTGCCTTTAGCCACTCCACTGTTTCCTTGGTGAGGCAATCGATCACCCTTATGCTTGGGCGGAAGTGTATACCCTCAAATTGAAGCTTGTGTTCCGCGCCCTTTGTCATTTCCCCCACAATGGCATCCTCTAATGCCAAGAGTTCCTCTGCACTGAGGGTCTCCTCAGGGAATGCCACGGGGAGTGCAGCAGCTTTGATGGTTGTCGCTGACTCAGCGTAGCTGGTGCTCGGCCCAGCGACTTTGTCAGCATGAAGAGTTCCTATTTTCCTCCTTTTTACATCCGCTTTGTGCGGAGGGGTTATGTTTTTGTCCCCCTTTTGTGTGGCTTGTCAACCGGAGTGCTCTGCGATTTTCTTCGCAGAGCCTTTTCTCTGGCTTCATCAGGTGTCTTGACCTGTTGAAGGAAACTGAGGCACCACTTCACTCCAGCCCCACTGCGGCCTTTTCTCAGCGGATCGTCAACCCCTCCAGGTTGTTCAAGAACTGGCTTGTATGCAGCTCTCTTTGCTTGCTGCGGCCACCGGAGCAGCTGTTCGTGCTTTGTTGATGAAGTCTTCTTAAATTTGATTGGTAGAAGATGCTTAGATCGCTTAAACGTTATCATCTGGTGCGTTTCAAGGATTTTAAATTTTTTCACTTCCGGAGTGCCTATAGAAAACTCATTTAAGCTCGTAGATCGTTTTTTTTTTTTTTTTTTTTTTTATAGTCCCTCATTTAACTCGGCATTACCTACACGCGTCAAAAAACTTACGTCATTACACGCCTTCGGTCAAATCGACCAAATGTTCATATAAATTAATAGCTTTTTTCGCGGAGACGATCCCAAAAGTATCCTGAACGCTAAGGTATGACCTACGCAAGTTTAGTAATCAATAAAGACATGAAACTTCCAAATAATACCTGCGTAGGTCATGCCTTAGCGTTAAATACGTTTGGGATCGTCTCCGCGAAAAAAGTGTGAAAGCACTATAATTCCTAGAATTCATAATAATATCAAAGGGAATTATATTATGCAGTAGAGTTACCGTATTATCCACAGCCAAAAGTACTCCCAATATCAGAAAATGCCAATTTTGGATACAAATATTTTAGATACTCGGTTTCACGCGCCTGGTCAGAAGCAATGACTATAAGTACTTCACCAAAAAACCAAAATATTTTTGGGCCAATGGGTAGTCAAAAATCTGCATCAGGCATTCCTGGATGGACAAAACTGCCACTTCTGTACCAGTGGCGTAATTACTGATTTTATTAATGCTCGGTCCTTTAGACCGACACGCGTGTACTCCCGGGGGGAGATTTTATGGTTAAATTATGTATTTAAATTTTAGTGAAAGAGTCCATTCTGCTACGTTTACATGAATGATGTAATTTTTTCTAAATCCCTAACAAAACATATTGACCATATTAGAATAATTCGCAAAATACTTAGAGACCACAATCTCAAAACTCAACCAGACAAGTAGGGATGTTGCTTTGCTTCTCCAGGACCCATTATAAAACCTGAGGAAATAAATCCAAATCCCTTGGAAATTGAAGCCATTCAGAAATATCCCATGCCAAAAAACCAAAGGGAAATTGCATTAATTAAGACCCTCCTAAAACTTGTGCAGCATACTATCGAAAATTTATTCAGAATTTCTCCAAGGTAATGTAGGAAGCCAAGAATATAAAAATGCATTTACTAAGTGCAAAATTCCCCCATACCATACTACAATATCCAGATTTCTGTAAGCCCTTCAAGTTAACAACCGACGCTTCGAACATTGCTGTAGGTAGCGTTCTGTCTCAAGACGAACCTCCGATAGTCTATTATTCCGGTACCCTTAACACGGACGAGAGAAACCATTCAACCATCGAAAACTTCTCATAAACGAGTCTGCAAAACATTCTCGCTCAGGACTAACATTTATTATCGAAACTGATCATAGAAGCTTCAGCGGAAACAATTTAAGAAAAATGGGCTTGAAGTACGAAAGAAGTTTCAACTGGTATCAGGCGAAGAACTTTTCTGAGATGTTGGTAAATGTCCAGTTTCTAGATTCTAGAAAAAAAAATACTTACATTTTTTTCTATCTATTACTGTCCAAAAATATCCATATTAAGTTACTTGCAGTGTGTTTTGTGCATAAGGCATATAAATAAATTTAAAGTGTTTTTGATTACCGAATAGCATAAGTTGCTTTGTGATTATTCAATGCACGGTGCTTAGCCAATTCTCAAAAAAAGTACTTTGCGCATTTGAATACCAATATACGAAACGTGGTATTTTTTTTTGCATGAGTTATATGAGGATTTTTGGTGCTCATGTCTAATTCCGATTTTTATGCTTATACTCAAAGGCATGCAAGTGACTACTACATTAAACCTTCAGATGAAATCTACAGCTAGAAACAGTCCCTGACACAAGTAAATTTGAAAAAAAATCACTACATGTGTGTGAATATTAAAACAGCGTTTGTTTTTTGAAAGCCTCCAAACATTTTTGTACCAGGAGAAATTTTGCAGTAAAATAAAAAAAAATATACCTACAGCATCTATTTCATATTTTTTTTTTTGACTTTTTGCTAAACGCGGTACCACACCACAAAATGAGTGAGTATATTCTCTTTGTTGTAGTAGTCACGTTTTTTCTTATAGGTTTTTGTATACTTTTTGTGCTTTTTTTGTGAAAGAGTTTTTGCCAGCAAGCCCTCAACAAAATAGGTAATTTTTTGAAAAGAAAAAAACAAAAACCCATCAGCTTTTTTTTGTGTGTTGGTATTCAAATGTAATAAATTGAAAGGATGTTAAACAACAAATAACGCAAATACTTGAATGTTTTACATGAAAAACGTGTGATGTGCCAACAGTAACCAAGTAATAATTAAATTAAATGGTTTCACAGTGCCCGGCGATCCGCAGGACGTCAAAGTGACGCCCATCAATTCGACCAGCATAAAAGTGAACTGGAAACCACCACAAATCGGGAACCGCAATGGTATCATTTTAGGGTATCACGTGCACGTGCAGGAAGTTAAAGACGAGGTAATTGGTAATGATTTAATGCAAGACACGCTCACACGTATTTCCATTCTTTTGATGTTTATTTTTGAAATGGGTTTGTTTGCAATCAGGTTAGTCTATACATATGGTGGGGATGTATGGTTAGGTATTTTAATCTGGTAGGAGTTATCATTGTTGAGGTAAGTCTTCTCTTTTTTAAATATTTCTTGCAATGTCTACCAATACAAGTCTCCTAAGAATCATTGTAAACAGAAGCATACCTAGCAACGCAGCATAAAACCACTACCCTGGGCTACGAGAAGACGCATTCGAAATGGGATTAAAAAATTATATGTGTTTTTCACCTTTCCATCAAGCGTGTGAAGTACCTACGGAGGGTTTTGAATCAGAAAAACTAGAATGATCCCAAGTATTTTTATTCAGGAATTAGGAGTTTCGGCTTATTTCTAAATACCGTGATATTGAAAGGTGGTACGGAATCTTTTTTATACAGTAAATATCTTTTTATTTGATTTCGAGTGGAAGTGGTTGGAATAAAAATCCTCAATTATATCAAATTGGAGTAATAGATTTACACCCTATCATCATCATAGGCAATCACTCGAAACCGAGTATGATTATCTTGTTGTGCGTTTTCTGATGGCTATATAAACCCCATCTGGAGCTGCACACTTTCGTCTTGGCATACCCAGTCTCTGGCAGCATCGTCTCTTCCTCTGTGCTCTCGCTCCCCATGCGGTCCCTCTTTTCAGTCTCGTATCTGCGTCGCTGTTCTTCAAAAGGTGGTTCGTGGTGTACTACTCGACGCCATGAAGGCCCATCTTTTGCCGTCGTCTCCTAGTTACTGGTATCGATGCGAAGAACATGTTCGTAGAGAGTTTTTTTGACCTTCTTGATTCCGTTTTCTCTCCTTCAGTTGACTGTAGAGAACCAGTCGTGGAAGACCTGTTTCGGGCATGCGGACGAGGTGACCTGTCCAGCAAAGTTGGTGCTTAATGCTAGTTGTTTTGGACTCCCCTAAAACACTTATATTCGTTCATCGGTCTTGCCATTTATTCCATAGGATCCTTCTTAGGCATCGCTTGTGGTATTTTTATAAGCTTTTTATGAGTCTTCTGTAGGTGGTTTATGTTTCGCAGCCATATATTATGTAGGTGTTGGTATTACAACTGCATTGTGGACGCGAAGTTTATTCTCAGCGCTGATATCGGGATTGTTGAAGACTGTCTCTGGAAGTCGCCCGAACGCCGTGCTAGCACACTTCAATCGATGTTGGATTTCAGCACCAATGGTTGCATTCACTGACAGATGGCTCCTAAGGTATGGGTAGTTTTCTATGAAAAATTACAAAGAATGGTAATTTTTAGTTATATTTGGGGCTAGGGGATTATTATCTGGGGCGGGTTGGTGCAGAATCTGCCTCTTGTTGAAGTTGACCTCTAGGCCGATTCTCCTGTATACCTGGATGAATGCATTGATAATTGCCTGAAGATCTTTCTCTGTATTGGCCATCACAACGTTATCATCCACATATTGAAGCTCAATTATCGACGTCGTCGATACTTTCGTCTTGAGTCGTAATCTGTTCAGGTTGTATAAGCCAACGTCTTATTCAGTACTTCAATATGGGACCGCTAAGTGGCAAACTTTTTTCATGTCTATTGGCTAGCTCAAGATCTCTATTTACCAAGAATGGAAATACTTCTGCGCCCCTTGACAATAAAATTAACATCTCCTATTTTGTTTCCATTAGAGTGGAAGTTTCCTTAACGAGCCGATGCGCTTCAACGTCCTTGGTGACCAAACGTTAGAACTGAACATTACCAGTCTTCAACCAGATACCACCTATAATGTTCAAGTGGCCGCTTTAACCAGAAAGGGAGATGGTGATCGAAGTAGTCCTGTCAACGTCAAAACGCCAGGAGGTGTTCCCACTCGACCTGCACTAACCTTAAAGTATGAGATCAAGCTTCAAAAATGAAATAATAAAGTCAGTGTTTTCAGAATAATCGAAAGAGATCCAGTAGTGACCATCGAGCTGGAATGGTCTAAACCTTCGCAAACTTACGGTGAACTGAAAGGATATCGCTTGAGATACGGAGCTAAAGATCAGCTGCTCAAAGATGTTCATTTGAAAGATACTAGCTACCGGATGAACGATTTGGAACGTGGTGTAGAATACGAATTTCGAGTCGCAGGCCTTAACCACATCGGTTCAGGCCAGGAATCCATCAAATACTTACGCACCCCGGAAGGTCCTCCCACAGGACCGCCCACAAATATTACCTATCGCTTCCAAACTCCCGACGTGGTGTGCGTGACATGGGACCCACCTACCAGAGAGCACTGTAACGGTCAAATAGTCAAGTACGACATTGAATTTCACAAAAAATCGGATCACAGCAACGTAATTTCCCGTAACGTAACAAAAACCAAGGCGGTGTTTACCAATTTAGAAGAAAACACCGAATACGTGTTCCATGTTAGGGCCTATACCAATCAGGGATTCGGACCGAACAGCGAAAAGCAAACCATACAAACCGAGAAGGATATAGCTAGAGCACCAATGGCAGTTAAAGCTATGGCTACCTCAGAATCTAGCGTTGAGGTGTGGTGGGAGCCGGTGCCTTCTCGAAACAAAGTGATCGGCTATCAAATATTTTACACCATGACAGCTATCGAGGACTTAGACGCGTGGCAACAAAAAACCGTGGGCCTCACCAACTCGGCCGATTTAGTCAATTTAGAAAAGTATGCCCAATACGCCATTGCTGTGGCAGTCAGAACACAAAGCGGCTTGGGAAGACTATCAGAAAAAGACACAGTCAAAGTAAAACCGGAAGATGTGCCCCTCAACCTGCGAGCCCATGAAGTTACTACACATTCCATGACTTTATCCTGGTCGCCACCAATCAGACTAAACCCTATCAAGTATAAAATTTCGATTGACGGCATCAAAGAGTTTGTAGACTCACAAGGCATTACTCAAACCCAAAACATACCAAGAGTCGAGAAATTTGTTATTGACGAAGTTAAATCGCACACGATAAACGAACTGAGTCCTTTTACCACTTACAATGTTAATGTGAGCGCCATACCTAGCGACCATTCGTATCGTCCTCCAACCAAAATCACTGTAACAACGCAAATGGCTGCTCCACAGCCAATGGTGAAGCCAGATTTCTATGGCGTGGTCAATGCGGAGATTCATGTAATCTTACCTCAAGCATCCGAGGAATATGGTCCTATTAGCCACTATTATTTAGTGGTTGTGCCAGAAGATAAGTCAACCAAACAGAAAAATCCGGATCAGTTTTTGAACGATGATCTTTTGGATAACATTAGAAGGGTATCTGAAGATCCGACACTTCCCTACATAGCTGCCAAATTCCCACAGAGGAGTATTCCTTACACCTTTCATTTGGGCACCGGCGAGGAAATGGAAGGGTTGGCGAATTTTAAGTTGAAGCATGGCAAGAGATACAGGATTTTCGTTAGAGCGGTAAGTGAACAAGTTTTGTTGGTAAGTACAGAGTGATTGGTGGCTGGGCAGTAGTAGTTTTGATCTACACTCGAAACTTATTTGCAAATGAGAATGATGGGTGAGTAGAATAAGTGGAGCATTTGGCCCAAAATTTAGCGTCTACGAGTGGCAAAAAAAAACATCCTGCTTCTACAAAATAAAGACAATGATTTCTATTTCACAGGTGGTGGATACGCCTCAGAAACATCTCTACACCAGCAGTCCATTTTCCGAATTTCTCTCCTTGGATATGCGTCCACCTCCACCCGGAGAGCCTCCAATTAGGCCCAACCCCAACGCTCCCACCGATAACGACGTGAAAGTGAGCTCGCAAAGGAAAGAAGCCACCCATATTTGGGTTATTGGTCCAGTGATATCCGCAATTGTCTTGAGCTTCATCATGGTAATTTTGTTTAAACTGCGTCGTAGCAGACAACCGTGCAAAGCTTCCGATCAGGCTGCTGTCACCAAGCCCCTTATTCCTGCCGACTTGAACGGCAGCATAGCTCCTAGTGACCCTGTGGAACAGAGACGTTTATACTTCCAAACACCCGCCATGATGTCACACCCTCCTATTCCTGTGTCGGAACTTGCCAATCACATCGAACGACTGAAAGCCAACGACAATCTGAAGTTTTCGCAGGAGTACGAGAGTATCGAGCCTGGTCAAACCTTTACGTGGGAGTTTTCCAATATGGACGTCAATAAGCCAAAGAATAGATACGCTAACGTTATTTCTTATGATCATAGTCGCGTGATACTGCCCACTGAAGATGGCCGAAGAGGCTCCGATTACATTAATGCCAACTACTGTGACGGCTACAGAAAGCACAACGCCTACGTTGCAACGCAAGGGCCGTTGCCGGAAACGTTTGCCGATTTTTGGAGGATGTGCTGGGAATTGAAATCGGCCACGGTGGTGATGATGACCAAGCTCGAGGAACGCACCAGGATAAAGTGCGATCAGTACTGGCCGACGAGAGGCACCGAAGTCTACGGCTCGATGTGTGTGACCATATCGGATGTACAGGTGCTTGCCACCTATTGTATACGAACCTTTCAAATCCAGAAAGAAGGATACTCAAATACTAGGGAGGTGAAACAGTTGCAGTTCACCGCTTGGCCTGACCATGGAGTTCCAGAGCATCCTGCTCCGTTCATGCAATTTTTGAGGCGGGTGCGCAGTTTGAATCCGATGGAAGCCGGACCGATTTTGGTGCACTGCTCCGCGGGCGTGGGAAGGACAGGCTGTTTTATCGTCATCGACTCTATGCTGGAACGAATGAAGCATGACAAGACTGTGGATATTTACGGGCATGTTACTTGTCTTCGGGCCCAGAGAAATTATATGGTACAAACCGAGGACCAGTACATTTTTATCCACGATTCGCTTTTAGAGGTAAGCTTCGATGTCTGGATTGATTTGAGTGAATTTGGCTAAAATCCTCTGTTAGCCGAATTGATAAATAACAAAAAAAATCTATGAAGTACCTACATAAGCCGTGTTCGTTTTTGTCAATTTTTTCGTCGATTTGCTCCGAAATTTTAACAGGCACGTGATTTGTGAATTGAAACTGTCTGATCCAGTCACGTGTCTGGCAAAATTTCGGAGCATTTCGAGGAAAAAGATGACAAAAACGAACACGGCCATAATAGTGAAAATTGTAGACCTGGTAATATTTTAACAGCTTTTTACTAATTTTCCTCTTTCTTTGTCACTCCTCTGTAATCATGGTCGGTGTTACTGAACTAGCAAACATTCTGGACTGTTTTCAGGCTTACATTTGCGGCGCGACCGAGGTACCGACCCGAAATCTGTACCTTCACATTCAGAAACTGATGGAGCTGCAACTGGGCCAAAATATGACCGGCATGGAATTGGAATTGAAAAAGCTAGGAAACATTAAGACTGATTCTTCTCGTTTCGTTTCTGCAAACTTACCTTGTAATAAGCACAAAAATAGGTACCTTCGCATATAAGCGCCGTTAGGTTGACATTTTCCTTGCCCAATTTTTTCTTTTTCAGATTAGTACATATCTTACCTTATGAAAGCACGCGGGTTTGTTTGCAACCTATAAGAAATATCGATGGTTCTGATTATATAAACGGTAGCTTTCTTGATGGATATCGGTACCACAAAGCGTACATTGCCACACAGGGACCATTACCCGACACCACTGACGATCTGTGGCGTATGCTTTGGGAACACAATTCTACTATCATCGTAATGTTGACTGAACTTAAGGAAATGGGAAGAGTAAGAATTGGTATTATTACTGTTTATTAATAAATACATGAATCTTTTTACATAGGAAAAGTGTCATCAATATTGGCCGAGCGACCGATCGGTCCGTTATGGATGCTACGTCGTAGACCCGATAGCCGAATACAATATGCCGCAGTATATTTTGCGAGAAGTTAAAGTTACGGACACGCGAGATGGATCGTCGAGGACGATGCGACAGTTTCAGTTCACGAATTGGCGGGAACAGGGGGTGCCCAAGTCTGGGGAAGGTTTCATCGATTTTATCGGACAGGTGCACAAGACCAAGGAACAGTTCGGACAAGAAGGACCGATAACTGTGCATTGCAGGTGAGGATCTTTGGGTAGGCTGCAAACCCTTCTTACAGTTTAGCAATTATGTTGTGAGTAGTGTACAAACATATTTCTACAGTATTTCCTTTTTATTTCGAATTTATATCCTTGGAGATCAGAGTATTTCTTCCAACTAATTGCAACAATACACTCTTTGGTCAGGACGTTAATTTTAAATATTTGTTCTACCTCTACATGTGGTCCGAAAAGACGCTGCACGCTGCCATTATTTTTTAGATTGAAATATCTATTTTTTACGACCGACTAAAGAATGTGCACAACCTGAAGAATTTTTTTGCCAGCCTCGTTGAGAAAAATCTATCTCAATCAAATCGGCGGTCGGGCCGGCCAAGGAAACTCAATTTTCCGATCCATCTGCTTCTAAACAAATCACTACAAAACTCTCTGACTACATTTGTAGAGTGAATTGAAACCCAAACGAGACCTCATCTAACGGAATTTCAGCTGCACGAGGTGCGATTTCTGGTTGCAGAAAAACTGAGTAGTCTCTCGCATCTGAATTATTGTGGTAGAAAAAATACCTAAGGTTCAATGAGTTGTCACTTGAAAATTTCACACTACAGATTAGTTTCACATAAGTAGTGACCCTCCGCTCTATCGTAACATTGGGATTTTCTGCAGACTAGCATCGTTAGTAATAGTTCGGATTTAATTGATATGTAAAGCCAACTGCCATATGGGCATTCATCTTTTATACTCATTAACTTGTAAGGGGACATAATCCCTTTATAAATACATAAAAAAAACTGTCTTGGATGGTCTAATTTGGACCAAAACAACGGTAATGAACCAACCTTTTTTTTTACCCGAGTATAAATTTGAATGCAATTTGTATAGTAGTTATGAAGTAGAGAACCACTAAATCCCCATTTGCATTTCAGTGCTGGTGTTGGAAGAACGGGCGTGTTTATAGCATTGAGTATAGTTTTGGAAAGGATTCAATACGAAGGTGTGGTTGACGTGTTCCAAACTGCCAGAATTTTAAGAACTCAAAGACCTGCTATGATACAATCAGAGGTAGTACACTAGAAAAATCAATCAAATTTATAAACTAATAATTGTAACTTTGTAGGATCAGTATCAGTTTTGTTATCGAGCAGCACTCGAATATCTGGGATCGTTCGATCATTACAGAAACTAAAAGTTGAAACGTAAGCAGCCGTAATTTTTAATTTAAATGGTAACAGAAGATGACAATAACGGCCTCACGCATCCATCATAAGGCTCTTCCATTTTCGACGACAAAGTTTTGCGATCAATGAGGACAATATTCCACTGAGGGCAGTTTTGGCCAGGTCGGTATTTAAAACAAAAATTTAAAATGCAATTTTGGTAATATAATTTTGAGCAAACTGAAGAAACTGATTGCAAGAGAAAAATAAATAATCTAATAAAGTTGCGACCTAAAGGTATAATAAGAAACTATCTAAAATTACTGTATCTTAGTAGAAACTTTCCCAAAATAGGAAAGATCAATTTTACCTTTTTTACCTTTTTTATTCACTCTAAGGTTAACACTGCGTATCTATCTCTAGGAAAAAACAAATATGTTAAAATAGTAAGTAATAGTTTTTCTAATTTATTTATAATTTATCGTACAAAAATTGTGTTTGGTCCAAAACACCATAATGTTTAAAACTGCAATATTTGAACAATTTTCTTTTTTTTTCAGTGTCAAAAACTCATGAGCTTTTCATACTTACTTGGAAGACGAGATCTAAAGTCAAAGCAGCAAGCCATTTTAACACAGACAGAAGAATCGTATAATAGGCATACAGTAGTTGAGAGGAATTTTACTGAAGAACTTCGTTGTGAAGACTGAGGAAAAGCGGAGGTAGTAAAATATCTGGTGATATTCTTATCTATTTCAAATTTCTAGAAAATGATTTGCCCAGCGTGCAGCTCTAATGGTAGATATCGTCAATTCTACCCGAGTATTTGCACAAGGACAAGTATGGATGCCACACAAAAGCAAATCGGAATATAAATGGCCAAACACTGCGTGGTTCAGCAAAAGAAAGAATATCTTAAATATTGAAAAGTTTTGAGAGCAGTAGGAAATGAAAGAGCTCTTGATGCTGCAAAAAGAGGAGAGAATGGAAAGAGTCAAAATGACGGAAATAGATATAAGTAATATTTTATAGATGTACCTGCTAATAAAATACAATACATGAATTTTTATTATCATTGATTGATTTTTTTTCAAATTTCATTCCTCGATTAATCTAGTCGAGTGAATAGGTTCATCGTACCGAAGGATTTTCTGCGTACCGCCAATGTTATTGGTATAGTTAACTGGTTTTGAGAGCTTCAGAAACGCTTCCCTTTCAAGAACCACTACATAAAATTAACCTATAGGTATTTTCAATCTAACAAGCTATGGTGATACTGATATATAATTTCAAGACCAATTTTTAAATTATATTTCACTTAGCTACAATTCTCTTCTTTCAAGTTTTTTTCTTCTTGTTAAAAGAATTAATTCTGTTGATTATTTTGACATAAAATTTGGTGTAATGGTTGTGAATCGTTGTTTTGATTATTAGTGGATAGCTTGGAGAGACGAGAATTCGTGAAATACAATTTCAAAACTTATTGGTCCTAATATTAGATATAAACATGACGCGTTAGATTGATGATATATGTCGATTTTTGTAAAGTTTCTGATAAGGGAAGCGTTTCTGAACCTCTCCAAATCAGTTAACTATAACACCTGACACCGGCGGTATGCGGAATATCCTTTTACATTTAGATAATTATACTTTATTTCACTTAAATATTCAAAACCAAATTTGCCAGTACAAAGTAATAAAACTAATATTTTTTCAAATTCTTACAGCCACCTCTATGTTTGCTAATTCAATTTACTACAACACTTTTCCTTTATTTTTGGGAACTTGAATTATTCTTGTTATAAATCCCTACTTCGAGGCTCTCAATGTCTTATAACCAATTCATTTAATCTTCTATAGGTACAATACAATAGTTAAATGGACTCGATACCTACATATTTTAAATAAAACTACCATTACCTCTAATTAAAAAATTTAAAATCCCTGAAGTCTTTTCATTTAACAAAATAACTTTTTGGAGGAGACTTAAATAACTGCCAATTTCTATTATTCTTTACTTCTAAATGTAAGTGTGATTGTCAATTATTGATTCTCGATTGCCTCTTCCTCTCATTGTAATCTGTTTAAAAAGTATGCGATCCCACCATAAATCTCCGCGTGAGTTGGAGTTGGAGTTGTTTTTGGAGAGGTTGGAGATTTTGTTGAGCGACCTTTCGGTTAATTCCATGTTGATTTTGACTGGCGATCTCAACGTGAATTTCTTGGACAAATGTTATAGATCTAATCAGTAATTTGTTGAACTCGTTCAACTCAAAGTTGAACGTGGATCGGCCAACCCGCTTTTCCGCATTCTCGGCCTCAAACTGGACTATTTCTGCACCAATTTCAATCAGATTGAAATTTGGTGTGTAACGATCTATGCCGGTTTGTCTGACCACGAGGCAGTGATGGGACTTGTGCCATTTGGCGATAAAGCTGATCAGGTCAACGCCTCCATTTCAAGGAGTCGTTATCTCCTAAGGTCATCTCCGCAATGACCCCTTCACCTGCTCAGACTTTACTAAAATATCGAGCCGTGACATCTGATCTCTCGTAAGGGTTGATTCATTCATCTTGGATGCTACAAATAGAAGGTGGCAGCAGATCGTCTGTAGTAAAATGACAAACATCCTGATGTTAAACCGGTACAATACTCATAGAGGTCCAAAAATCGACACCCAAAATTAATTTATGAGATAAATCAGGCAATACCAAAATATCAAACATCTTAGTTTTATGTTTCAAAGTCAGAGGAACCGGGACATAGCCTATGCTGGAACAAGACTGACCATTGGCTACAGCACATGTGAGTAAAGGGGCTAGGACAGTTCTAGGCCAAAATCAGTCATTTTCCCATGTAAATCTCCATAAGAAAATCTAAGGTCCGTTCTGGCAATTTTTGTACCGTTCAAGGTCATCCGTCCAGCCTGCCAGGCAGTCGTTGCCGCTAAACCCCGCCCCCTTTTCAGTTCCCGTGTCTTTCATTGGTCGCACTAACTGGTCAGCTGCCGCTGCGTTCAGGGTCATTGCCCGTACCTGGCTCCAAGCGGCTCATCGAACACACATAGCACCTCGTGACTTGGTACCTCATTCAAGGTGCATTGTACTGATGATGACGTAACTAATAATAAAAACGTCGTTCCGCCATCGGGTCTGATGATGACGTAACTAATAATAAAAATGTCGTTCAGCCATCGGGTCTGATCATGACGTAACTAATAATAAGAACGTCGTTTCGCCATCGGGTCGTCATCATTTATTGCAACCGCAGCGAAACCATAACTTGTTATTTTCCTGTGACCTGCGATAAACAAGCTCTGACTAGTCTGTAGCCAATCACCAGCTTCGTATTCATCTGCACACGCCAGCGAACTTTTCCTAGAAATATGGGCCATCGTTTCAATTTTATTGTTGCTTATTACGTTGGCTTCCTGCGATAAGCAAGTCCTAACAAGTCTTTAATCAGTCAGAAGGCTGAGGTCTCTCGTCTCAATATAAAAAACAAGCCGAAGATTTTTTTAAATTATTTAGGTACCTACATCATATTATTATATCGCTTCGCTCGTATTCGGATCAAAATCGCCGCTAATTCGAGTGACTTTTATTGTCAACATTACTTAGACCCATGACTCATTTATACAAATATTTTTCTGCAAAAATAATTCCGTCTAAAGTTTTTTCCATGAGGATTTTCCTGGAATTTTTGCTTCAGTTATTCATTATCTATCATCAATATATTGCTAAATTATATTAACACGACCAATAAAAACAAAAATAAGGCTAACGCGTCGCATAGGAAGTTACACTGCTTGAGCCGTCCAGCCGCAATACTGATAAACTATTTATCTTTAGAGTAAACAATTAAACCTGCGACAATAATAAAACAAGGCGTTACGTCATAGGCATATATGTGAATATTTTCATCATAGCAGTACTACTTAAATAAAAATGTTGTGTTAGTAGATAGTCAAAGCGGGTTCAAGGACCAAGCATTCTAGACACGATGGTGGATGCGCCGTCGTTGACACGAAGGTGGATGCATCGTCGGCGCCATCTTGTCAAACGTCATGGCGCCATCTGTCGTGAGTGCGGTGAATTATTGCAATTGATCGACAGGAAGGGTTCAAAATTACAGGTTCCTGTAATATGGAGTTTGCGTGGAAGAGATCGTTTCATGTCGTTTAGATGTCGCTACGTATATTTAATTATAGTTTAGGTTCTGATGACGTCATAGTGACCTGGGTCACGTGGGTTACGTCAGTGTGTGGCGGTGGCGCCATCTAGCGTACATAGTGCAAAGTTCAATTTACAGTTCAGGTTCTGTGATGACCTTATAGCGGCCTGAGACACGTGGGTTACGTCAGTGCGGGTCCGTGGTGCCATCTAGAGTACATAGTGCAAAGTTCGATTCATAGTTCGGGATCTGTGATGACGTCATAGGGGCCTGGGTCACGTTCATTATTGCATCAAACGCCTATCATTGCGTAAATGGAGTACACGCGTTATATAATTTTTTACTTATATGGTCACGTCAGTGTGTGTCGGTGGCGCCATCTAGCGTACGTAGTCCGTTGTGTCCTTTTACAGGATGCCGTAGTGGTAAATAAAATAAATTCATAAATCAGCATGCCGCCGACGTTTATTGTGGGAACAAACAAAGGTATCATATTTCACGGCTATTTTTACTTATAACTGATAAGCGTTTCCGTTCTAGCAAAAACAACAACAAGCTCGGACTTGCATTTATATTTTATCGATGATAAACATGCATGGATATTTTCACTGCCGACTAACTACATATATGTTTAATAATATATTTAAAAACATTCCAGCCCATAGCCCCATAATACTTTCAAGTTGGACATTATCTATCACTCAACTAACAACCCTTAGGGCCAAAAAAGGGGTGATATCAAAAATTTAAAAAGTACCTAACTATACCATAACTCTTTTCAGGCGGGGACAGCGAAGCTGCTTTTTCCGGGGTGTGCGCAACCCTAACTATCAAGGGAATGCCTGAAAACTGGATTTTGACCATCTGCGCACATGTCGTTAGGGCCTTCTTCTATTTTTCCAATTATTTCGTGTTCTAGCGATCCGATTTGATTCGTTCTTTTACCAAAAATTTTTAAATAATTAATTGCGTATTTGAAGGCCAGTTTTACCCGTTTAGCATATGCCAAAATGGCCGTATTCTATTTTTTTCAATTAATTTACGTTCTATCGACTCGATTAGATTTATTTTTTTTGCCAAAAATTTCTAAATAATTATTAGCCTATTTGGAGACTAGTTCTACCCGTTTAGCATGTGCCAAAAGGGCCTTATTCCATTTTTCAATTAATTAAGGGCCGTAATCAATTTTTCTCAATTAAATCAGGTTCTATTGATTACATTTTATAATTTTTTTTTTACCAAACATTTCTAGATAATTATTGGCATCAATGAAGACTAGTTCCAGCCATTAAGCATACGCCAACAGGGCCGTAATCAGTTTTTTCAATCAATCCGCTTTCCAGTGGTCCAATTTAATTCAAATATCCACAATAATGTATTGGAATGTAAATATTTTAGTAAAGAAAGTTCTAAACACAAAAACAGCAGAGAGGATGACATTTAACAATAGGCTACATCTGAATAAAGAGTATGCAAATTTTTGTCAAAAAAAAAAAAAAAATCTAAGATTTCTTCAACCTTTCTATACAGTTCCAGATGACTTCGAGCGAGCGTGTTATCTCAACCATACGAGTTTAGATCTGGATCAGCGTCACAAAGCTTATTAACTGGAATGTTTGTAACTGTATACAAAAAAAAAAAAAATACTCAAAATAGCTGAAAACCCATATTTGCTTCATGTTTCCATTGATTTTTATGAAAAACTTTCTCAAAAATCTGATAGTCGGGGAGGAGAGGGGGGGGTCACTATTATAAAACCGTCCAGTCCTCCGTCCTCATTCATTAGTTTGCAGTTCCTCAAAGAGTGAAGACGTGCAAAACTAGTTC